TGCGCGCAAGTTTCTTTTCCCAGCTTCTCAACATGCCTTCCACGACTTCAACGCGGCCAAGTAAGCGCCTAGCCATCTTCTGCGACGGAACATGGGTAGGTCGCGAAACCCAAGTCGAAGACGCGCCTCCAAGCAACATCCGCCAACTCGCCAACATGGTCGGCGAAGTACAATACTCCACCGACGACAAGACAGCCGCAAAAGTCCACCACATCAAACCCCACAAAACAGCAACCAGCAGCTCGACCCCCGACATCATCGCCGGCTACCAGGAAGGCGTAGGTCTTAACAAGACTTTTCTGCAATATATCTGGGACGGCGCAACCGCCTCCACCATCAGCGACGAGTGCATAGCCGTGTACCGCTTCATCGTCGAAAACTACACACCCGACCATGAAATCTGGTTGTTTGGATTTAGTCGCGGCGCCTTCACCGTTCGCTGCGTCGCCGGCATGATAAACAACTGCGGCATCATAAAACGGCTCCCGTCATACTCCGACGCAGAAGTCCAACGCCTCTGCTACGAAGTCTTCCGCACATACCGCAGCAACCTCCCTGTCGACGCCCCCAAGAGCGAAGAATGCCAGAGATGGAAAGGCTTGGGTGATAGAGTGTGGCAGGTTAAACGCCCAATCCGCTTCCTGGGTATCATAGACACAGTCGGCGCGCTCGGTATCCCGCGCCTGAATGCCGGAATAGGATTTGACTGGTCCCCGTTCGAGTTCTTCGATCAAACTGTTTCAAGCGTTGTACAGCACGTGTACCACGCGCCCTGTCTGCACGACCGTCTGTGGATCTTCCAGCCGTGCCTCGTGTACCCCAATGAAGACGACGAAGAGGAGAAGGACAGAGCGGTGGTAAACCAACGCTGGTTCCCAGGTACCCACTACGACGTCGGGCGCATGACTTTCCGCTTCGTGCGGCAAAGCCCCGCGAACTGGATCGAAGATGCGCTGGGTTGGCTTCCGAATCTCCTCTCGCGGACTATCTATCCGAATGAAGTGCTCAGCGACGCGGTGTTACGGTGGTTAGTACAGGGAGTACGGGATGTAGACGACGACTCTGCAACGCCGTTAATGCCTAATATCGAGCAACACATCTCCACTCTCAGCACGCGGCTTGGCGAATCTTCGTTAGCATTGCCAAAAGAGCCTGCAGCGCCGAGTGCAAGCACAGGAAGCGGCGACATCTACGGCGACGTCCTCGCCTACGCCCCCGGCGGCGTGCTCTTCAGTGCTATTCAACGGACCTCCCGCTCCATCACTGCTACCCTGAACAACATCTTCCCCCAACTCGGCGACAACCTGCAGGGGCTACTGGGTATCAAGACGCTTGTTGGTATTCTGACTGCGACGGCCGATCGACGCATACCGGGGACCTCGGCAGATGTGTATCCGTACATGGAGGAGGAGAGTGTGGTGGTTGAAGGGGGGAGGGAGGTTAGGTTCAAGGTGGAGGAGTTGGCTAGACTGAACGAGAAGAATGAGAGGGGGGTGTTGAGGTATCCGAGTCAGACTCTTGAGGCGTTTTTGTTGTGGAAGAGGGTTTTTGGGAGGGAGGAGAATGAGTGATGGGTAAGGTAGTGGTAATAGAGTGGGTTTCGGTTTTTCTGTAAATAATGTGGTGGTAAGGGTATATATTGTTTCTTAGTTGGCTTTAATATGGCTTCGCTTTACTTGCTCTTGTTCATCTGGAAAGCAGCTTCATTCGCAAACGCCTTCTTGTCAACGACTTGATCCCTAGTTAAATATCTATTAGATTCATTCTATACTCTAAATATATCCATCATCAACGTAAAAGAAACCCTTCATCTTGCACAAACACATTTCGTCCCCAATGAAACACGATGGAGGCAAGACTTACTTCTTGCCACGGCCTCCGAAACCCCATCGAATCTGATTCGCCCAGCGTCCCTCAACACCAAGATCATCAGCACATTGCCAGACGAAACCAGGGTTCTTCTGGAACATGCGACCGATGAAGGCGACGTCGAGGTTATCGTTCTCCAGATACCCGTTCGCTTGCTTGCCATCGGTGATGCTGCCCACGGTGCCGACCGCCATCTTGTCTCCCACCTTGTCCTTGACTGCCTTGGCGAACGGCTCTTGGTAACCTGGTCCACCGTGGATATGCTGTTTCTCGTGGAGACCACCGGATGAAACGTCGAGCAAGTCTACGCCGCGATCGGCGAGTATCTCAGCGAGTTTGACGGTCTGGTCGACGGTCCAGCCCTCGATGCCGGCTTCGTCGAGCCAGTCTGTTGCACTGATGCGGAGAACAAGTGGCATATCCTTGGGAATAGTCTTGCGGGTCAAGTCGACGAGCTCAAGCGTGAGGCGCGTGCGGTTCTCGAAGGAGCCGCCGTATTCGTCGGTGCGGTGGTTGGAGGCGGGGGAGAGGAAGGTGTGCAGCAGGTAGCCGTGTGCGTTGTGGATTTCGATGGTGTCGAAACCGATGTCTACGGCGCGCTTGACGGCGTCGACGAAGGCTTGCTTGAAGGCTTCGATGTCTTGTTTTGTCATCTCCTTGGGTGTGCAGTGCTTGTCGTTGAAGGCGATGGCGGAGGGCGCGTAGACGTTGTCGGGCCAGCCGTTTAGTTCCTTCGTTGCGATGTCGCCTTTGCTGAGCCACGGGGCGACGGTGCTGGCTTTGCGGCCAGCGTGTGCGAGTTGAATGCCGATTTTCTGGCCTTGAGAGTGCGCGAATTCTACGATCTTGCGCAGCGGCTCCTTTTGCGAATCTTTCCAGAGACCGCAGTCTTCGGGTGTGATTCTTCCTTCGGCTTGTACGGCGGTGGCCTCGACAAATGTCAGACCGGGACCGCGCTGGATGATACCGCCCAAGTGTGTGAGGTGCCAGTTCGTCTGGTGACCGTCTTCGGCGGAGTATTGGCAGAGAGGGGAGAGGGCGAGGCGGTTCTGGATCGTCATGCCTCGGAGCTTGAGGGGCTGGAAGAGCTTGGGGATCTTGGAGCTGCCGTCGAGCATGCCAAGGGCTGTTCCGGCGACGGGCTCTTGTGCGGGAGTGAAGTAGGGAATCTGGATGGGTCAGCTAGGCAAAGGTATGGGGCTTGGATGTATGCATACACCAGGAGCGGCCTTGTTCCTCAGCTCATCGTGCTTAGGGACTTGTTCGCTATTCTTATCCTCGGGGATATCCTTTGCGATCGCATGATGCGAGTGCGGCTTGTCGGTATCAGCCTCGATTCCCATTATGGCGGTTGTTGGTATGTAAAATTGGATGTGTGAAGTGTGAGGAGTGCTGTGTCGAGAGTCGGAAGCTCAATGAATATAGAGAGAGGAGGGTGGGTGGACAATGGCATCTTTATACGCTCCTGCCGTTCTTCTCGAAAGTACCGGCATGACGTGCATGTTTGGACATTGCTACCATTAAACCCCAGCCGTGGGGCATCTTTGGCGCCCCGCCTTCCTCGTTCGGCATGGCTTGTCACTAGCAGCTCATCATTACACTGCGTCCTGATTTGTAAGACGCACGTTGTCGCATTCACCGATAGGCGTCGGGTAGTCGAGTGTGTTGTTGAGGGCGCGCGTACCTGAGCGATGGGTTACTGTTCTGTGGTTGAGCCAGTCAGGAGTCTGCTGGGAAGCTTAGACATGTGCTGACAGAGATAGCCGAGTAACATAAGCAATCCTTCTCATGATCTGCATGCATCCATCATGCTGTACGCTATATAGCCTGGAGCTTGTTCGCCTCTACTTCGGGATACCTAAGCGTTTGTACCTGTTCGCTACTTACTGAGCTTCACGCAGCATGCCTCAGAAGCTTGAAAGACATTCTTGCATTTTCTTACTAAGCATGGTGATATACCCGGCGGCTACTTGGCCATTGCGACGCGGCTCAAACTCGGCCCAAGCCACGCCGCCGAACTCTACCGCTCCAAGCCATTAGTGCTGGAATCGATTCTGTCTCACCGACTTCCCAACTCAGTATACCAAGTCTTTTACGCTGGTATTGACCCTGCTAAATATGCGACAAGCGCAGAGCGTAAAGCTTCGTCAACCGTGGCGTATTGTCAAGCTTTCCGTGGTGCGTGCAAGCACTATGTGTGACATAGCCTATCCAGCTTTGAGCACTACCCAACCAACGCACGCGTCGCGCACCATCAAGCTTGCCCATCCAGTCTCGGGGGCCAATTGAGCGCTCGATACCCCGACCCATACAAGTCATCCGGATCCTCATGCTCGATAACTGGAACCCTCGGATACTTGAGATAGCAATCGGGTTGAGCTTCAAGATCAGGCCTGTACGTCTCGGTCTCTTTCTCTGGTCGAAGCACAGCATAGCTTCGTGTCGCAAATCCATTCTCATCACTGTTACACTCCATGTATATATTTCCTACGCGCCATTCGCTTTCGATATCCGAGTCCGCCATATCATACACGTCCTGTGCGAGTTCTACAGACGGCTGGACGATGCGAAATCCGTTCAGCTCTTCTTCCCACCGCAGGACTTCCTCTATCAGATCACGGGGATCTTGATTGCGCCACCGAGTTGTTCGCATCTGGTAGCCGTGATCGTGCAACGGTCTTGGGAACCTGACTATCATAAAGTTCAAACTTTTCATATCATGTCGGATGGACCTCAATGACCAACGGATTCGTTGGTATGTGAGTTCTGTCGTCAAGGGACCTTGGATGAACACGGAAAGGCGTTCGAGGTTCGGAAGACTTTGGAGGGCTCTGGCGATACTAGGGCTTGGCTCTGATGCGTCGAAAGTCTCAATGCTCCATGGAGATGGTAAGCCGTATGCCGCGTCATACAAGAGTTTATGCTGGCCAAGCTCGCGGAACTGGAAGTGAATGTGCAACGAGCGAATTTGGGATAGGTGCGATGCAAGGGCGGCCCGACGGAAGTCAATCAGAACCGTGTTGTGAAGCATCGCGAAAGTGTTCGATTCGTAGAGCACGTCGATGGTTTCTCGGTAACTAGATGGAGCTTTGTTAGTTGCAAGGCTGGATTGTCGCACGCGCATGTCTCTCTTACACTAGCTGGCATGACTGGAGCACCGCCAACACGTTGGTTCTCTCGCGCTTGCCGTGCAGGTTTGTAGCGTAGTTTGTGTGGACTGCCTGGATGACCGCTGGTGCGATGTTCGCTACTTCATCAGGGCCCTCATCCTCCAGGAACTCGAAGGCGATTCTACCGTTCTTGTAATACAATGCGATGTGCTTTTCGCCTAACAGATGTTTCCAGATGATAGAACGTAGCTCAGCGGGCAGACTCAAGAACTTGCTCTGCGACTGAGCGCTTGCTGAGTCGTCGCGCAGCAATAGCGGGATATATGGAGGTTCTGGGGTCACTTTCTCCGGAGTGACACTGTGAGGGGTGCTCGGCCAAAGGCGAATGCAAAGGCAAGCCGTAAGATTCCACGGAAGACAGATGAAGAATTTGGCGCCTCTGCGCCATTGAGCTGCCTTACCCAGCCTCCTCGGCCGACTGTTGATGTTGACAATCTGCATAATGAAGATGCGATGGGACGGTTGTGCATGCCACGATTTGGAAGCTGCCGTCCAAAATGTGGCAATGCGGTCAGCTGGCGGGCTGTCCAGTCACAGCGAGTTAGATGTTGCTGCCTGCAGGACTTCAGGGCTCAACCGTGCCGCATGCGGACGTGTGAACTCTGCAACATCGTCGCTTCTGACTCTTACTCACTCCAAAACACTGGAGCGGGACAGTATTTCCAATGCGAAGTACAATCTAGATACCACTGCCTGCGCCTACTAATCAACATGCAGTCCCACCACGCGCCGGACGTGGCCATCGTACCAAGCCTGGGAGAAGAACAACAACATGGCGCGCTGTCACGGGCTGCGCTCTGGACACACGGCATTAGGGATTTTCTAGACAAGAAAATTAGACTCGCAAATAGAATCCGTGAAGAGCTGGGCGAAATGATGGAAGAAAGACGGCGGAAAAGAGAGGCTGAGAAGGTGCGAAAGTACAAACCTTTGGAGCTGCGCGCTCGCAAACGTCCCACACAGGAGAATTGCCGTCTTCTCAGTCTACCAGCTGAGATCCGGATCATGATCTGGGAGTATGCCATGACTGGACAGTTCATCGTACTCTATCGAAAGCGGGGCAAAGTCACGTCTAGTGTCTTCGACAGCCATGGCACCACAAGTGTCGCCAATGCGACTGTCTCTATCATGACTAGCATAGCCATGTCGAAAGCGGAATCAGGCGCCATATCTTTGCCTCTAACTTGCACGACCACGTAAGTCATCAGACAGAGCGACCTTGCGGAAGCTCGCGGACTGACGTATCAGATATCTGGAAACGATGACGATGCTTTATCAGGAAAACACGTTTGTCTGCCTCGATACCACCGTGCTAGTCGAACTGTGTAGGGAACGATCCCGGTTCAACATGGCTCTCGTTCGCTCTTTACATTACTTCGTCGGCACACGGAAGTTCATCTGGTATGGAGCTACACTACCAGAGCTCGATATGGTTCCGTCCCCTACCCACACCGAGAGATTAGAGAGTACAAGTCAGGTCTTCCATAAATGTCTACCAAACCTTGAACAACTGTCAATATTCCTCTACGGCCCCATCCGTAATGTCAAGGACTGCACCAATATGCTAGAGCACCTGCACAACGTCTATCGAGACCGAATTTCCATCAAGATGAATGCGTTGGGAGTGAGCGAAGATTATTTGTTCCACGATCGTTTTATGCACCCCAATACCCACGCGGTACATATCGAGATACTGACCTTTTTCTCGTGCATTCCATTATTGAAGGGTACCAAGCGTCCAGCATGTCACACTGGACTTCCGCGTAGGGCCAAAGTTGATGACACATTAGTCGACAACTTTACTTGGAGGGCTGAGAAGCTACGGCTGGGATCTTATGATCAAGCAGAAGGGGCAAAGGCTCTGGTGTATGTGGTACTAAAACCCGAGGATGATACAAGGAGGATGGTAGGGCAGTTTGAACCGGCAATACTCTGGGACGTTATTCCCGATAGCTAGGGGAGTAAGCAATTACATCAATGCTGACTGGTTGTCTGTGCATGAACCTTTGACTTCCTGTTTTGGGCTCGCATACACGTTGAAGGAGAGTTCGATTGCCGAGTGGAGTCGGATGCATCGGCACTCTCCATCGCCCGTCGATCTGTACCCAGCAAGGCGACGTCAATGCAGACATGACGAAGGCGCCTGCCTGGTCAGGAAGCCCAATGATGCGCATCACGCGTGTTTCGTTTCGAGATGGCTGAGGCTTCAAGGCTGAGGCAGCCGATGTTCCCGATGCTTCCCAAGTAACCGGTCCTTCTGCGCGTGACGTTATGTGGAAACTTGCCGGCAAGGCCGAACGCCCTTTTGGAAGCTTTGCATGCATGCCTCGGACAGGGAGTGTGGCATAACACGCCGAAGGGCAGGATGATACGCTTTTGTTGCAACCGCCTGTGCCACAGCCACAGGTGGTGCGAGAAGCCTCTCTGGAGGTCAAGTTTGCAGTGGGGCTCTTGTCTACATGGCGAAGTAGAGGCGGCCAAAGCGGTGATAGGGTCTTTGTTAGATGGAATCGCAATTTACCCCACGGCGATTGCGGCGCATGATGAGAGGAACAGGCTAGCGGGCTGCTATCTTGGGCAAGGTGAAGCATGGGGCCAAACAAGGACGGATGTGGCGCCGGCCAATGGCAGGCAGGCCTCAACCCTCCGCCAGCCGCTGCCCTCGAACGCGACCGAGTATCACCTGTTGACGCTCCCTCGACACCACTCGTGGCCGTTTTGTGCTCCATCGACAAACGTAGACGCCTGCGCTGCGATTCACTCACTTGCTCGCGTCATAGCATCTTGTACTCCATTCGTGTTGTGTTCACCTTGCGACTGCCGCTGGATACCCCCTCGCGCCTGCCGCTCCCTGACGCCCGTACCCACTCGTTCACCACAACTATAGCCGTCGCATTCACCACGGCGCAAAGCCAGCAACAATAGCCCGAGTAACAACAATACCACTGTTGTCGCTATACATATACGTACGCAGCCATCGGACACGCCTCTTCCGCTGTCACCGCTGTTCAAGCCTTGCGCATCTCAAACACGCAACGCTCCACCCACGCGCACACGTCTCTTGTCATGCGCACGGCACTCCGATAGCATACGAACACCCACCTTTCTGGAAAGCCCTCCGTCCCCGGCCACCCGCCGCAATCCTCCGCCTGCTTAACAAAACTACCGCCCCTGTCGCTCTCTCCCTCGCTCGCTTGTGGTGAGCAGCCGGCCTGTCACCACCATATCGCGAATACTCACTCTACAACCGAAATTGCCTCCTCCTTTTGGCTACAACAACCAACCCATGTCCTAGCGACCAAGTCACTCCTTAGACGAACAGCTGGACTGCAGGCCACCGTACCGCTGAGCGGATACTTACATACACACATACGTACATACCGACTAATACCGAATCGCCAACATGGGGTGCTGCGGAGACCGCGAAAAGGGAACTACGGTGACGGAGGAGCAGAAGTGGACTTACATTGTAAGCACTTGAGCGCGAATATGGAAGTGCATCGCTAACTGCCTTAGAACTTGTCCGACTTCAAGTCTACATCTTGCCTCGCGCCTTTCTCTTACGCCTGGCTGTGGATTCTCGTCGTCATCTCATGCGCCGTCTACGCCGCCGATGCCTTCACCGCCGTCAACCTTCTCGCATTCGACAAATGGACTAGCCAGGTCAAGCCTACCGTGCCTTTCGACATTGCCAAATGGATCTTCGCCATCACCATTATCGTCTCCTACGTCTTTCTCGCATACCGATGGATCCGGGCTCTGCGCGTCATGCGGACAGGAAGTGTCACCGAATGCTACCTCGAGCCATTGGCTGCTATACTGCAGAGTATGCGCATCACAAAGACTGGCCAGGGCTGGCGCCGCTTCTTGGTCTTCGCAGAGTTGACCAAGAGTAAGAAGGGTGCCAACTACATCGCTCTCTTCGTATACTTCCAGTTCAAGAGCGCTCTTCTCATCATTGTCGCCCAGGGACCTCGCATTGCCCTCAATGCCATGACTTTATACGCCGTCATGCAAGCGCAGCTCATACCCGTCGGCGAGCACGCGTCAGAAGATCGCTCCAACTTCGAGCAGTTCTTCATGAACATCAAGCTCATGGTCGAGACCGGCAACAAGCAGGAAACAGTCATCTACTTCACCATGTTGTTCTCTCTCGTTATCTGGGTCATCGCTGCGCTGGGTCTCATTATCGCTGGTATCTTGTACCTCTTCTTCCTCTGGCACTACATCCCCAAGGCCGATGGCAGTCTTACCAACTACTGCCGACGCAAGGTCGAGACCCGTCTGGAGCGTATTGTGGGCAAGAAGATCAAGAAGGCCATCGAGAAGCAGAACCAGCAGCTGAAGAGGGAGGAGGAGAGGGCCATCAAGAAGGGCGAATTTGACGCTTCCAAGTCCCGACCTACGCTACCCAAGCTCGAAGGCGACGATGACGATACATCGACTGTCTTCTCGCTGCAACGATCCGATACGATGCAGACCACCGCGACGCTACCCCCGTATACCCTCGCAAACACACCTTCATACAGAACAAACCCGGAGCGATCGAACACCTCGAACACCTTCAACACCATGAACTCGGGCCGAAACTTGATGAACAAGCCGTCTTTGCCCACGCTAGACGAGCGACCTGGCATGCCAGAGAGGGACGCACAATTCACAAACTTCTCGACTGCCAGCTTCGCTTCAAACGCGCCAATGCTGAACCAGGCAGGAGGTATGGGCAGGTCGTCGCCTGCACCACAAATGCCACCTCTAGACCGTAACGGCACTGGGTACTTTGGCCAGCAAGACAACCTGCCTTACCAGTCCGACCGACCTTTCACACCAATGTCACAGGGCAGAGCGTCCCCACTCCCACCACGTGGGCCCATGCCCCCTGTGGATACAAGCTACAACAACGGGCGATACGAGAACGATCCTCAACTCATCACTCCCCTCGATGCGCGGAATACACCACAACAAGCTCACCCCAACCGACCGTACCAAGAGTTCAGCCCCTACGACAGCCGGGGTCCTCAGATGGGCCCGGAGTATGAGCTGTCACCTGTCGATGTCAACCCCACAGAAGATATCTCGCAGCACTACTTCTCGGACTCAAATGGACAGCCCGACTACCAGCCACCTCAAATGCTCAGCTTGTTAAGAGCTGGCTCACCCGCCCCATCACAACCCATGGGTCTACCATCGCAACCACGTTCAGGTACCGCGCCTCCACGATCTGGCACCGCGCCACCCCGAGCTGGTGTCCCAGCATCACTGCAATCTGCAATCCAGCGTCGCGAAGCCTCGCAACCTTTCCCCAACCGAGGGATGAACGGCTCAGCGCCGCCTCAACAACAACAACAACGAAGTGCAACAGCACCGATTCAACAACCAGGTTGGGCTCAGGGACCTCCTGCCCGTAGCTACACACCTCAGGGTCTCAGCCCCCAACGTAGCTACACACCCGTCTCTGGACCCCAACAGCAACAGCAACAACGCAGTTACACTCCTACTGCGCCTCGTGGCTACGACAACAGCTACAACTACTGATCTCCCTCATTTCACTTTATCTCATACAACGTTTGGAATCACCGCATTCATGCATCTCACGGCGTTCACTTCTACTCTCCATCTGTCATCTTTGTGCCTGAGGCCGCCCAAACCCCATTCTTTCCTTACAACTCTTACATTCATACGCACGACGTTCTCTCCTCCACTTCAACGTGTGTGAGTGAGGGAAATGTTTAACGACCTTTGTTCTGTTTTCTACTTTCGCTCTTTAGCTTGGTTTCGAGATACCCCCCAACCCGCATGGCTGGCCTCGGACGTCCGTTCGCTCTTTCTTTGTTTTTACGCGTTCACCTGGAGGACTTGGTTGGATGAACTTGGTGGAATGATTTATCTGGTTATGTGGAGGATGGGCTTGACTCTTGTGATGGATGAGGGGATGAGGAGATGGGATCTAGGCTTTGGCTTAGACATGTATAGGTAGCGTGGTTGGGTTACATCACCCTCAAAAGTGAGGACTATCTGCGCTGGGAGAGGCGCGCATACGTGTATTATATACCCACTTCTTTTGCAATTCGTGGAAAGCAATGGAAACTTGTGCATACTCATATCGAGATTTTCGCTTCACTCCAACCATATATCCTCCCGATGCTGATCATTCGTCATCTCATTGAAAGCCCGCTCATCCATATCCCGGAACTGCAGCGCTCCCACCCGCCGATATGCGCTTTCAATCTTCCCTCCCATCTTCATGACTCGCTCCGACTGCTGCAACATGAGTTTCTCGAATGCGTCCAGCCGCCATTGTTGTTCTCGAGACGGTTCTACGCCTGCTAGTGCGCTTTTGTATTCTTGGTACAGCCGTTCCTGCCCAGAGATCCAGGAAGTGTGTTTGATGAGGAGAAGACCTACACCGGAGTACGTCTGGCGCGCTTTGGGGGAAGAAGGTTGGGGTAGGTGGGGAGTGTTGGTGGGGTTTGGAGTGGCGGATGCGGCGAGGATGATGAATGCGCAGCGTTCCGTATCAATGCATCGATCGATTGGATAGCTGGCTGAGGTGGTGCTAGTAGTCGCTGGTGGAGTGTCGAGGAAGGCATCTAGTTCAATAGCATCGCTAGAGGTTTCGCTCAAGATATAGAGACGGTATTGGTCTTCTTGCACTTTTATCAGTCGCCCAATGTTGATATGCGTCTTGAGTGCCAATGTTCTGTTCTGTAGTACTGGCTCCTTGTCGCCTTGTCTGGTTTCTTTTTTGACCGCAAAATTGACGACAGCTCCATCATGATCTGTAATCTTGTATGACCGTATGGCCAGTCGGTGTTGAGGCATAACAGAACCTTTGACACTTGCCCATGACCAGCTGGGAATGTTGGCATCGAGCTCCGGCATCCTCTTACATGATTTGGTATCACGCACTCTCCAGGCCAATTGCTCCTCGAGCGCCTCAGACCACATACCCACAGCGTATTGCTCGTTCATGAAATCGCGTAACAACTTTGCGATACTCCAGATTGCGATCGTCTTGTCACTTTGATTCGTCAGTTCGCATTCCGTGTAGTTTTGTACTGCGGACATCCAGAAAGTGTAGGAGCTTTCGTTGTCGTTGACGCCGATCAGCGCGTTGGATGAGACCGTGCTTCTGGCTAGCCGTCCGCGCCAATGTCGATCCGTGCTCGCTTTGTAATCGAGAGGGAAGGGAAGGCCTTTTGGGAATACCTCGCAGGCTGAGAGTGTACCACAGTCCCAGAAGATCTGATGTTTTGTGAAGTGGAGGATGCGGGGAGAGAGAATGCGTTCTGTTGATTACCCGAAGTTAGCATCCGGTGAGTTTTAATCGCCTAGCAGTGAGGTAGGTATCAAGGGAAGATGGGTTGTGCTTACCTTGGAAGACCCATGCACGACCATATATGACGGAGCTCAGAAGTTCTTTCTCCCAAAAGTCCGCCGGGACAATCGTCCAAGCCTGGTCCCCCAGATTATGGTGTGCATTAGTGCCTTTGTATTCGACCGGAAGAATTTCGTGAGGCTTTCGTCTCCTGAATAGACCGCTGTGTGCATCCTTTGAGTCCGCTGCAACGATGTTGCAATGCGAGTACCGATATACCCTGTGCATAAGATCGGCCTCTTTTGCAAAGTCGCCAAAAGGTTCCTGAACGATCGCAAGACTATCGATCCAGATGTATCGCACCTTCAAGAAGCGGGTAACATATATTGCGTGTTGGAAGTTACGTGGAAGCTCGTCCAGAGTAATGCCTGTGATTAGATGCTTCGCCATGTTCCACACGGTGGTAGTGAGGAACGGTTTCTCTCGTGGTCCCCACGCGTGGCTCAGCGTGCAGTAAGGGCCCTTGACTTTCGTTGTTTTGGTATCTACCAAGCGGATAACGTTGTCATCTCCAGTGTCAACATCCAGAAGTCGCGTCGGTAGGAAGGAGAGCTTGGATCGCTGGTCGTGCCAGGATTTGCTGCAGTCTTGATGATCGTGCATACAAGTGTCCATCCATCTGTTGATTTGATTCCCGCCACTGCGTTCTGGGTCGGTTGTTCCCTGTAAATCCTCAGGAATAGGCACATGCAGATCGGTTCCTGGTAGTAATCGGAAAACCTTGGTTGTGAATTTCGGATGAGAAGACCGAAACCGTAACATCATCGATCCTTTTAACTCTCTGCCGCGTGGTAGTGCTCGGAGCGTCCAGTGATACAATGGCCAGTTTTCGGCGTTCAATACGAAGTCCTCCATGTTGGCGTAGAGCGAACTGCAAATTGTGCATTGGTACAAAGAATCTTTTGCACCACCCATTGAGAGACGATGTTGTCCAGAGGATGCATTGCACTCTAATACATTGCGGACACAAAAGTCGCACAGTCTCACTGGCGACTGCGCTGGAGCTGGCTTTGGTTGCGTGACTTTACCTCCAGGCTTATGGCGCGGAGATATGCCCTGAGACGCTTTCGGTACATATTCAGCGCTGTTGATCCTAGGCGGCGATTGGACTAGCCCTTCGCCCTTGTTGAGAAATGATGCCTGGCCAAAGCTGCCTTCCAGCTCACGGATACGAAGGCCATCTTCGAGACTCATGAGCGGTGTCGGGGGAGGTCTATCACTTGCTAATGTGTCGAATGTGCTTCCTAAGAGATTAGGTGTCTCGTCCGATGAGAATGTCTCTCGGAACTCATGTAGTGTGGTAGCACCAGACGTTTTCTCTGCAGTGGATTTGACATGGTGCCTCGCCCGTTCTAGCGAATCATTGTACTTCTCTTTCACGTATAAAGTGAAGGCGGGTTTGCAGCATATATCCACCTTTCGATCTCCAGTGCGTGGATCTGTAAGCCATCCATTTGCTGCGGTGAAGACGTCTTCAACAGACCTGGGATAATCTAAATTCGAACAAGTGATCTGGGCAAGGCGTATACACTGTTCTAGTGCGTCCAGAGAAATTCCATGCGAATGATCTGCAGCGGCACCAATTGCATATATCGGAGGCAGGCGCTCGGGTTCCATTTTGCTTTCGATGAAGTTCATCTCGGTGTCAAAATAAGCAATGACGTCCCTGGGCAGCCTGTCGTCAACTCGATCTATGCTGAAGGTAGCGATCTGGTCGCGGGTAAAGATGTCTTCCAGATATAACAACGCAAGTGTTATGTTGCCACCAGCTTTTGGACCAATATACTTGATAATGCGCATCATGTTCTCGAAGTGAATATCGCGATAGTGCATGCTCAGTCTTTCTTCGAGCAAGCGCTCCATGTTGAAGTGACCCAACTTAAGGCTGACATGCTGATAGGGTTCTTTGAAACCATTCACTGGGCATATGTGAGGTTCTTCCAGATGTTTCTTCTTTTCGCAGTCATAACACAGATCGAACTCCTTACAATGTGAACATTCCCACCAGAGCTCCAGGTAGTCCTCCTTGCATTCGTCGCAATATGGACAGTTGGACATAGAGAACGCTGGAACCCTTCGCGTGATCATCACCTTGAAGCCGCTGGGTTCCAGAGCGGATAAGTGTGTATCGACGATCGACTGTAATGCTTCGTTCATGCGATCGTATCCGTCGAGGATGAGGAACTTGCAAGCACCGGAGGCAAAGCTCTTTAAAGCTCCGATCAGCTTCTTAATGCGCTTGGTTCCAGGATCGCCGGAGCGACACGCGCGCTGATATGCTCCATACTCCGCGTTGGGTTCATTGCCGAATTCTGAGTATATGAACTGAAAAAGATCCTCGATGAACGCCAATGATGTCGACCACACATGTTGAGTAATGGATACAGATGCGACAGCAGTTTTGGTCCCGTTAATGCCAGATGGCAGACGATTGGCAGCGAAAGCAGCTAATGTCGTCTGTCACGGTAAGCAAAGTCCTCTGTCAGATCCCTGAGAGCTTACTTTGCCACACCCAGGCTCTCCATAGCAGTGAAGTTGCCATGACCTACTACCTGAGGACCATGCACAGAAGGCTGGGGACGCGAAAAACTCGTCGAATAAGGTGGGATCATATCCGCTGCCATGTAGCGTGTTTCGGCTCAAGGCTGAGTGTGGTACGTGAGTTTGTGGCGCAAAAGGATCTGGAATGTCTCCAGCTGCGGCGTCCGACATTGTCGTAGGCACCACAAAATTGCAGATGCATTCGCACGGAAATTGCCATCCATTGATACTGTTGTTTGAAGGCTGCAGCTGTTGCTTTTGGGGGTCAGGACGAACGACGGGTTCCAGTGGGTCGGCCCCCGCTCCATCTATGTCCGTGCACTTGGCTTATGTCATGCAACCGGTCAATTAGCCTGGCGCGTAATCCACAAATACACATCGTCCTCCACCTCCACACAACCTGAGTGTCAGCCGGCACGTCGTACAATGTAACGCTGCGTTGGTCGACTGTATACAGCACTTTCTTGTTCGAGGCAAACATCCGCCTAGTTCGCGAACTCGCTGCATCTTCTCTACTGTCCACTTTTGCCTTCTTCAACCCTCTCCCGTCCGAGACAGTTCCGCTCACGACTGGACGGACTTTCGTCGCACTAGACGTGCGCCTCTGCTGCGCTCACGATTATCTCTATAGGTGCCGATCTGGGCTTTGTTTGCTTGTCGAACTCCAGCGTGGACGAGGGGCTTCTATTACCCAGCTTTCATCTACCGTTTGGGCCTTCAGCTAGCGACAGGGCTATGCAAACCTCTAGCCAGCTTCCCATCGACCTCGGATATATCGAATCAGGAATCAGTATCTCTTTACAGCCTACCGACTCCTTTTACCGCTTGGGACGGGCCAAAAGGTGGTCTGGGGGCCAAGTGCGGCTGATATGCAAGATGACTGCTTTGTACTTCACGCATCAACCGACAAATCGACTGACAAGCCTTTAGCGCAATCCCGGAAAAGGCTTAAATTATCTCATGATCTGGTTAACCCCTGCAGTTTCCCGTTCACTATGCCCGTGGCAATTGGTGGCTTCGTGCCTTGGCAGGAGCAAGTGCTCATTCATTCGATAGCAGTCGCTGGCTGCTTACCGTTCCTGTACTATTCCAATTTTATCGAGTCCCCGTTGAGGCTGCGCAAACCATCGCCGCAAGTTCAGATCCCTGCCAATGGGCCTCACAGCGTTACACAAGATGTGATCACCCAAGTTAAAAAGACGAGGAGACCCACTCTAGCTACTGACGCGACAACCCGCTTTGGTTACTGATTTCTAGTCACTCGTCATGTCTCTCGTTAAGCTCCTGGCAATATCGTGCCTATTGGCATACGGATGGGCAAACCCTCTGAAGGGCTCTTTCGCCCCTCGGCAAGCTGAGCCTCCTACAGCTTCTTCGGAAGCTGTATCTACTGCATGTGGGGATATCATTGTCGCTGTAAACAACAGTCAGTACTACGATATACGATTGGGAAGAACACCTTGACTAATCAATGGCAAAGATTATACACTCTTCCAGGCGTCATGGGTGTACGAGTGCTTGCAGAGTATCCCCTTCAACTCAGCCGTCGCAATGCGCTTTCTCGATTACTACAACATGACTTTACAATTCCAGTCTACACTGGGATATCTCAAAGAGCCACCCGCGGGCTACCAACGAGCACCATTCGACGTCGACAAAGCTTTAGACGAGATAAAGCAGAACGTGACTGCGGCTGTTTACAACAACCAATATGAGTTTGAAGCACAGATTCAGCTCTTGATAAACCAGCTTCGTGACACGCACGTCACTCTCAATGCCGGAGCTTTGTCAGCATTCTCTTTCGTCGCCTCATTTGGTCTTGTAAGTGCGTCGATTGACGGCAAGCAAGCCCCGGAAATCTACCTTGATCAGGACCTGTACGAGGCTTGGGCAATCAACGAATACAAAGCGTCGCCTGTGACCCATATCAACGGGGTTGACGTGATCGAATATCTGGAACTCTTTGCCGAACAGAACTCCCAAGGCTTCTTAGAACCACATGCCGACTGGAACGCGATAATGAACAGCCCTGCGCTCAATATCCAGGGTCTTCCGAGTACATTCCAATCGGCAACGCTTTACCCCGGGAATGGAATCTTTTCCGATGCGCTCAACTTCACCCTCCAAAATACCACTGTGGTCGAGACCATTTGGTGGGCCGTTTGTGTCGACTGTAAGGAAACAGGACCTCTTACCACTGGTGGCGATTTTTACAACTACTTTGTTCTCGGATTCCTGCCAGAAAGCTATCGTGAAGGCGAAGAGTGGTGGCCAACCCTCGAAGACAAGTTTCTCTCTTCAACGGACGACAGCGTCAGTACTTTCAACTTCACAGCGGAACTGGAAAAGTATTGTATGGCAGGAGCCCGATCGAGCCAAAACTGGTGCATGGACAGCTTTGCCGCATACCCGAATAATCCCATGACCGTCCAAGCCGATCTTTCTGTCATAGGAGGAGGTATTGTATCTAGCTATATGTTAGATGGAGCGTCCACCGCCATCCTGAGCATACCTTCGTTCTATCAAAATGGTATTGACACGTCCAACTTTCGCCAAGCGATTCGCGACTTTATCGGTAACGCATCACAAAGCCAGGCTTCCCGTGTCATTATCGATCTGCAACAAAACTCTGGAGGTCTTGTGTTTCTCGCCTACGATACATTCAAGCAGTTCTTTCCGAATCTCGAGCCCAATGGTGCAAGCCGCCAACGCAGCCATGAATTGAGCGATTCTCTCGGTGAAGCCTACACCGAGTGGTGGGACCGGTCAGGCCGCGACCAGACGGATTCCTACAATTGGGCGTCGAGCGAGTGGATCGTCACTAATCGCATCAACGCCGCTACTGGGAAAACTTTCTCGTCTTGGGACGAGTTTTACGGTCCAGAGATTAGCAACGGCGACACGTTCTCGGGGAGTCAGCAATACAATTTGTCTGATGAAAATTTCGACTATTCCGCCTTTGGTGACTTACCATACGGATACGATCCAAGCGACCCGATAACCAATACATCACCACCTTGGGCTCCTGAGCAGATTGTCATCCAGACTGACGGTCTCTGTGCCTCTGCATGCGCTGTGTTTGTCGAGTTCATGACCCACGAAGCCGGAGTCAAAACCATCGTCGTTGGTGGTCAGCCTAAGCCCGGCCCGATGCAAGCAGTCGGCGGCACTCGAGGCGCTGCCGCATACTCTGCTGACGCCCTCGACTTCGATTTTGACGAAGGACTAGAGGATTCGCCTGTCGAAAAGCCCGAAGTCGTTTCGCAACTGCCCGACCGAACGGATACAGGAATGTGGATCAACTACGCCGGTTTCACAATCAGGAATCAAGTTCGTGGCACCGAATTCACACCCCTGCAATTCCAATACCAAGCTGCCGATTGTCGTATATACTACACGCTGGAGACGATCTACAACATGACTCAACTTTGGGACTACACCGCCCGTGCAACATGGGATGACCAGACTCTTTGTGTTCAGGATTCCACAGGGTACCCAACGGCCCGCAATAATACATCGGCCAAATCGCCCCCACCAGCCAGATCAGCCGCACTGGCAGTCTACGACTTCTCGCCGCCGCCCATCGCTAATAACATAACGTTTGCGATTCTCGACGGCCATGGCGAGAACAAAAGGAAAGCTGGTGAGCCTTACGCGCCCTGTAGTAAAGGCTGCCATTGTGATTATATGAGGCTAGATTGCCCCGGCGGACTGAAAGATGTCCCAGCCTGTCTGCCCTCGTGCACTGCTACTAAGCGCGACCAACAGGGCGATTGTCCTGGGCGTAATGACTACTGCGACATATCAGAATCCGTTAAGCAGACGAAAGCTTACGCTCCAAGTACGCTTAAGCTCCCGAACAATTTGCTTTATGACGGTTACTGCAAGTCAAAGAAAACGAATACAAAGTTCTGCGAGAAGCCAGGCGTGTGGATCATCTAGCGATGCGTACACAATGTCCACAGAAGTCGCGGCGTGATGAAACGTCATGCGATTTTGGGACAATACAACGACAAGCACATGGCATCTCCTGCTATCTCAATTACATGTTGTTTCGATTTATTTGGCTTATGTAAATGCAAAGCTTTTAAGTGAAGACACTGCGAATAACTTCGCCACAACTGCTTCGCCTGTACAACAAAACTTCGGTGCAGGGTCCAGATCATTCGATCTAGGAAGTTAGCGTGATTGAGACAGCGCTCACAAAGCCCGAGAAGGCTCCTAGTATATTCATGCTGCGATTGGACCTTTCAAGTCTGTTACGGTTCGATCAGAGTCGACAGGGTGATCCAAGATGACGTCTCTTATCTCAGCACAACTATCTCGATCGATTGAAGACTAACCTGGCCGCCATTCCATACTCATGGATTAACGCGACTCAAATTTATGTCATAATATAGCCCTTGGTGAATTAGTAGACTACGTAAAGCAATGCTCATGGTCCATACAGTGATCACGAAGTCGACATTAACCGAAGTAGTAAGACATGATGAGCAGTCGCCCCGTCGTCTAGCCAAAGATGACCATAATCAATCGCCTTATTGTTTGGTTTAGGACTACTATAAGCAATCGCCCTCTGATCTGTCCCAAAACTACCATACGCGTTCACCGTTCAACGACTACAGTGGAGAAATGCCAAGGTACCTTGAATCTCGAACAGTTGCTCGGAGACAGACTGACGAACAACGGATGACTGGAACCTAGTTGAGCGGATATAAGTATCTGCTTCAGACCTCGCAACATACATCACTCACAGTATCAACAACAACCATCGGACTCACAAGAAACATCAATATGCCTTCCATCCGATCCATCAGTCTGACCATGTTTGCCCTCCTCGCCACGGTACACACCCCTCCTCCCCCATACTCTCACACCAAACCAAGGCAAGACTAACATCGACCCCAGACCAAGGCCCAAGTAAGCCTCGACGACGGCGGTACCTTCGGCGGCTGCCCCGGCGGCTGCTGCATCCCCGTCTGCAACTTCATCGTCGGCGACCAAGATTCTCTGGGCGCCTACGGAACAGTAGGTTTTGCAGGTACATGCAAGCAAAACTTCGATATGAAGAACGGGGGTAATGTAGACCTGGATGACGACTACCAGGCCACTTGGGTCTACGAGCAGAATGGGCCTGGTTCCGTTGCCATCGATCTGTTCCGCAAGAGCGACAAGATTTACAATCGTTTCGAGGTTTCCAACTGTCAGTTGGCTAGTATTGGTGGGACGCAGTGCGCTCCTGCTGATGGGGGCTGTGTAAGTTGTGGGTTGGGAGAAGTGAGAAGTTTGCTAATGGGTGCGTTTAGGACTTGAAGCTGATTCTCACTGAGGCTCAGGGTTAGAGGACTGACTGTACTTACGGCAGTATGTGGAGAATGGTGCTATTGGGGTGGGGACAGGGTCGATGTTCGTCGACTATTTGCCAAAAGCTTCTACTTCTTGGGTAAAGTCTTTTGGCACTACACTCGTTTTATAAACTACTATCAACGGATTGTCACTTCCTTGGCATGTGCCTTTGAGATGCGTTCATGTCTACTGGTGTTCACTCGCCACACACCTACCACTGGGCATATCAGATATGCTAAAGTAGTTGGCGAAGCATTCCATCAGTAGCGCTGATGTGCAGTTTCACTTCAGACCAGGATCCCACTACCACACCACCACATCCCCATCGCCTCTTCGCCTCAAGCATCTGTTCTTCTTCGTATATGTATCACTATTCAAACCATGAAACACGCAAATCACATCTGACACACCCGTTGAACCCGTATCTCGGCTTTCGTGGGAAGAAAAAAGCATATGCGCGGGAAAAGCAAAAGACGTGTCTCCCAAACATCCGGGTATAGTTTGCAGCGGCTCATGCCGATGCAGATGCAGAACTCATGGGTTCAACCGTTCATATGCGCATTAGCTTTCTGTCACATGCTTGATCAGCGTGTTGAGCAGTGTTCTGAGGGACGTTGAGGCTGTTGAGATGGTTGGTGATCTACATTCTTGTCAATAGACTTGCTCGATATGAACGATGTGACAACGTATTCCCACAAGAATTGATGTACGCAGGTGAACGTGAGCGCGGTGAAGGAGATGCGCGTTTCCGTTTGCGGGGTACCTACATGGAGGATGGATGGTGGAAGGTGGTGAGGCAGCCGCGAGGATATGTCGATAGGTGCATCCTATGCCATATCTCCAAGCAAACATACTACGTTATCAGTACACATTGATCACACCATCTGGCTACCCTCTGCCAAAAGTATGAGAGAGAAACGGAATGCAAACTCTTACCCATCCATACCTTACCTCTACGTACACTGGCATACCTGAACCCAGTAAACGATACACAACAGCCGGATCTAGCCCTCACCGCCACCTCACGACCTCCTCCCGTGTCTCTATACCATCCGGGACCTACGTGGTAGACAGCGAACGATCATACTCTTAACACCTAGCGACATCCGTCCATGCCTCTACTCCTTCCTAACCCGTTCAAGCGTACCGTCACCCGTGCAAGTGTACCACCAAACTCATTCGTTCAGACCCTGAACAGCGCTACAACATCAACTTCCTCCGTAGCCGCACCATCCGTCGCACATACCAGCAACAAACCCAACTCGTCAGCGGCCCCCAACGCCACGCGGCGCCCGGGAGATGTCCAACCTGCATACCCAGGCTTTCGCAACATCAAATACGAAAAGAAAGGTTAGAACCCCGAGTCAGGCCGCATATGAGCTGAGCGATTGGCATATATGTTCACATGCATGTTTCACATTCCCCTTCTCTTTTGTTTCTGCTAGTGACGGCGGTGCCAGTGCCAGTGGCGGGCACGCGCCGCGCGAAACGTGGACGATAAGATAGCGAAGAGAGCGGGTTGGTCTCGCGTGGTACACTACTCGTAGATGCAGGTAATCGGTTTCAGCCACGCTGTTCTGCGCGCTTCTGCGAACATGTGGATGGGTGGATAGCTCGGGGACCGAGGGTCGGCATTGCGCGTCTCGCGAGCGACGGACGGGAACTGCGAGGTTAGAACTTCTTAGAGTCCGTTGACCAACCGGCCACGTGTGACTAAGGTGAACGGAAACTGTAGTATGAGGTTAGTTGGCCGAATGACATGTTTTGACAGGTGTTGCGAGGGAGATGGACGTCGTGGTAGGGTAACGTGTCTGCCTGGCGACGCCGTGGGCTGTGCCTCAGCACCGTCGACATGTCAGATGTCTTTCTCGTCGCTGCCACGACGTCGCAACACTTTCCACAACATCGACGTTACCAGTCGCATGCAGCGCATAAGATAGTCGCCATAATATCAAGCATGACTGTCGTGTCGTGTTGTGTTGTGTTGTGCTGTTGGTGCCGCGAACCTTTCACGCCGCGACACCCAACGCTCGCCCGGTACTCTGATCGGCAAACCTGATCTCCTGCGCTGCGCACGCAGCACCAACCGAGAACGCGTTTGATCGACAGGCACCACATCCGCACCAGCGCAATGGTGCCGACTCATCCTCCGACCGAACCACGCTCCAACACAACTTCGCGCCCGCTGCCAATCCAGACTTTCTCTGACAGACTAGCTTGCGCGTACTCAGAAACGTTCGGTGGCTTTGAACTTGTTTCGGCGGCTTAGAAAGAAGAACACGTTGGGGGCGTTCTTGGTGTCATTTGGTTTTTTGCGTGGTAGCGAGATTGTGTTTGGGACTGTTGGGTGAGGGGTGCTTGGTGCCTGAGGGGGAACCGCTGGTGCTGAGGGGTGGGTACATGGGTCCCCGCTACTATGGCAGATTGTTGTTGTTGCTGTTGTTGTGGACGACGATATATGCAATCAACGCGAGAGTGCGTAGGGCAGACATTGAGTTCCACAAGCTAACATTCCGCCTCATGGCGACATGATTGAGTCATCACTACGATCGGTATGGCCACTTCCACCTCGAGTCGAAGCAGATACCACGTCCGTCATGTTGCATGCCTGCTGCCCGATCTGACCGATATCTCCACCCGCTCGCGTGTCTCTGACCTCTGATCGCTTGTACCCTGTCAACGGGTGTGTAGTCGCAAAAAGAAGATTCTGCCAGGAAGCACTCTTCCATCATCTCGCAGCCAGTCGAGCATACAACCTCGAGGTATGACTGGTAAATCCGCTCCACAGCACCACAAATCCCTTCCACAAGCGAAATTACCTGTAGTTGTCTAGAACACATCCGCTTGTTGGTAGTCTTACACCTAGTGATGTCACACCAACCCGGCTCCGAGTAGGTATCGATAAGCGGGCAACACTTGCGAACGTCTTGCATGAGCTTTTCGTCGCCGGCTCCGCAGAACGTTGCGCTTTTCGTATGATTGGTTCGTGTGGAAAATCATGATGGTAGTGTTGGTAATGTCCGCCAATGGGAAGTTTTGAGCGACAAATGCAGGACTTGTCGGTCCGGCAGATGATAGTAATCGTATGGCTGGCTGAACTAGAGAGCATGTGTGTCGCCTAGAGAACGGCGGCAGGAACAGAAGGTGTCCGCATGCAGTAGTGTTTCTGTGTAGCTCTTGGTTTCGCAATGTCTCAGTTGGCGCATAGAGGCTGTGTTGTTGCTCTGTGCAAGGGCAGGTTGCTCGACCAGATGTACAATGTCGAGGGCGACACGCAGCACAACCATGAGAGAACCAAGACAGATGATGGAAGCACAAAAATGTCCGCGTCACTACTCTCGCTGG